TCTCCACCGGGGATTCCCCGGGCATGGGGACCCCCTCCCCGGGCAGGGCACACGGGACGCCCCCCCCGGGGCATGGGGATCCCCCCCTCCCTGCCTCCCCCCCACCCCAGGCAGGGTGCACCGGGGACCCCCCCCATGGGGGCTGGTCTCCCCAAGGAGCCTGGGGCTGGGGGGTGTCTTTTGGGGGGCTCCTGACCCCCTTCTTTCACCCGGTAGACCTGAGCTGGGCAGTACCTGGGGGCTGGGGCAGGGCTGGGGGGGGGGGTTGGACCCCCATAGGGCCCTGCGGCTCCCCCTGGCCAGGAGGACTCCTGGGGGGCTCTTGACCAGGGGAGGTGGGTGAACCCCCCCAGTTTGCAGGACCCTGGGGAGCTGGTGGCTGTCCCCAGGCTGGGCGCTTCCCCCCAGTGCCCCCCCCCCCCCAGGCAGGGACACCCCAAATTTCCCCAGGGGTTCTCCGGGCTCTGGCTGGCATCAGCCCTTCGGTGCAAAGCCCTGTGAGAGCGGGGCTGGGCGTGTGGCGTGCGATGAAGTTGGGAGCAGGTGGGGGGGGACGCGCTTGGAGGGGGCGACATGCACGTGTTTTGGGGGGCTGCAATGACAGGGCTGGGCTGGGCTCCGGGGGATGCTGCAGGCAGGAGCGAGCCCCCGGAGAGGGCTGGGCTGCGCAGTTGGTGCTGCGGGGCCTGGCTGGTGCCCAGCCATAGCCAGTAATGTCGGGACGGAGGGGGGGCATAATGGGGGGACACGACCTTTGTGATGAGAAGACCCCTCCTGTAGCCTGAGCCTTCCTGTGCAGGACTGGGCACGCCATTTTGGGGGGCGCTATGGTGTGCAATCCTGCCAAGGCGGGTGCTTCGTGTTATTGCCAGCGCCGACCTTGGTTGTGGGGTGGGGGGGTGATCCTGTTTGGGGGTGTTCAAGGAAGAAGCTGGCAGAGCCCGTCTGGAGCCTGCCGTCAGCTGGGCTGCCAGACTTGCCACCCACCAGCAGTAGCCGACCGGCTTCGTGTGCCCCCCGCTCCCGGCAGCCAGCACCCCGGCCCCACTGGAACCACCGGCAGAGCTGTTGGGGGTTCACTGGGCTGCTCCCCCACCTTGGCTCTGCCCTGGGCTGATGCCAGTCGCAGCTGCGAGGGTTTTTCCCCGCAGCCCTCGACCCATTCCATAGGGATCCCTAGGGATCTTTTTTGGGGTACCATTCCTGGCCGGGCTTCTGCAGAGGATGAGTGCGGTGGCCTTCGTCGCTGCAGCCCCGCGCGTGGCGGTGGGGTCTCACCGGGCACCGCCAAATAGGCAATCATGTTGCAGGGCAATTAGCGGCACTCGGGGTAAAGCAGGCGCTGCTCTACAATAATTGGCTAATCATTAGTCACTCTTGGTGTTCGTTGTAAAATCATTAATCACTGGGAAGGAGCGCTGCTAATGCGGCTGTAATGGGCTGGCGCAACCGCCCACGGGAGCCGCCGGGACGGCATGCCGGACCGCGGGGTGCGAGGGGCTGCCGGCACAGCCGTGGCGGAGAGCTGGCGCGCTGGTTGCGGAGCTGATCTCCCACCTGGGTTTAGCGAGGCAGCGCTTTTTCCCTGGATGCTGAAATGAGCCGGGCTTACCCAAAAACCGGTGCTCGCCTCTCCGGCTTTGGCTCCGGGCACGGTGATGCCCGGCACAGCCTTTCACTGTAGTTTGGGGACTTGCAAAGCCCCTTTCTAGAAAACAGCGGTTCCTTTTCTGCTCTGAGGTCCAGAGCCGGATTCACCCGGTCCAGGCCTGGGTGCTCCCATCAGCTCAGCCCCGTGGGACACTGGCTCTTGGGGACACTGGCACTGCGGACCCCGGTACCGGAGCAGCCAACAGCTCTCGAATTCCCATGGAGTAGCAGCACTGTGTGCCGGCTGGCGATGGGGAGAGACCGGAGCATCCTCTGCAGCAGCTCCATTGCTTGCCCTGGAGCGGTCCCCCCCCCAGAAAGAGGGGGCAGAGACACGGAGCGGCTCTCACCCTTACTGCCCGTGCCGATTCGGGGCCTCCTGGCTTCGAAGGGTGCTTGGTTGGACCCCCACGTCCCCGGCCGTGGCTGCTTTGCTGAGGCAAGGGGCTGAGTGGGGATTCCTGGATGCTCGGGGACCCTTAAGTCCCACACGAGAGGGGTCAGGATGCTCTGTCAGCCCCCCCTGCCCCACTCCATGCCAGGCTCCGGTTCTCTGGCAGCTCTCTGCACCGTGGCCGAGGGTGTCAGCAATTTCTCCTCTCCCGAGCTGCGAGCAGGCAGCTTTCCCGGGGAGCTCTAATTAATAACCCAGTGACAGATTGCACAGGCTGCATTTAACCTAATAATACCGCCGGCAGCAGCAGCCGCCGCCGTCGCCAGGCCCCCGAGCCGCAGTGGGCAGGCGCGGGCAGGGCTGCCCTCCACCTCCATCCATCCCTGGGTGTTATCTGCAGGGCGGGGGCTGGATGCGGCCACCGAGCCGCAGCGGGAAAGCATCTTCCCAGGATCTGGCTCTCGCCCACGGATGCTCGCCTGCATCCCGGGGGCCGTTCGGGATGGACCCCAGGGTTTCTGCGCTGCGCGAAACCCAATCTGGCAGGCAGAGGAGCTCTGCCAGCCTCCAAATCGGTGGCTCTGAGCGCTGCCTGCACACATCCTGCCTGCCACAGGCTGCTGCCTGGCATTAATTATGCATTAGCCCTCTATAAAGTATTTATGCCTGCCTGCTGCTCAGCCACGGCCAGAAGGGTCCCAGGTAAAGGGAAATGGTTCCTTGGTGACTGCGGATGCTCCACCCGAGATGCTCCGGGTTTGCTTTGGGCTCTTTCATTTCAGTAGCTTTTTGCGGGGGGGGGAAGAAATGAAGTTTTTTGGTGCACAGGATCGTCCCAGGATCCTGAGGGCGGGAGATCGGGTGGTGCCTGCCCCAGGTCTGGGTGCTTGCGCCGTGGGCACCAGCCCCGTGCCATGCCCAGAGGAGCTGGGGGGATCCCTCCTGCCATGGGGACCCCAATTTTGGGGGGGGGGGGGCAACTTCACAGCACGGTGCATTAAGTCTTTCCCGACATGTATATCTGACAATTGTGCATCCTATTAATTCACCTGCCGTAGCAGGGAGCGACCGTCACGATACCATCCACCGGCACGATGCTGTCTGCTGGCGCCTTCCTAAGGGCTCGTTATCCCACGATGTGGCTCGTCACCAGCCGGGGCTGCTGAGGACTCCCGGCCCCAGCGTCGGCCAGGATCCATCTCCACTGCGTTGGAGTTGGGCTGAATAAATCCTCTATTTATCTCCCCCTGTGATAACTCAGGAATTTACTCGGTTAAGGACGAGTTTTACACCGCCATCAGTTAATTTATTCTCATTGCGCTGGAGGTTGGAGAATGGTGTTTAGCCACCGCCATGTCCAATAAATCCCTTCCGATGTGAAACATGAAGTTAAAACCGCTGCGTGTAAAGTAAAGTATCGTCCCTGGCTTGTTACAGGGAACGGGTCATTTATCTTTGCCTGGCTCGGTGCAGAAGGCGCTTGGAGAGCGATGAGTTTGCTCTTGATTTTCATAATTAATAATTATGAATTACCCATGAAATGCTAAATGGCCCAGCGCAAAAACACCGGCTTATGGCATGAATAAATCAGGCAAAGGGGAGGAGGGGGTGTGTGTGTGGATGTTTCTCTGCTTGGTTTTCGGGGTGGGTGTGGTGGGGGGCAGCCAGAGCCTGCAGTGGTCACCCTCACCCTCAGCTGTCTTGGGAGATGGAAAGCACAACCCCAAGCCTGGATCCACCTGGAAAAGCTGCAGCTGGATGCAAAAATCAGCTTTCTGAGGGCGGCGAGACTGGTGGGATGCTCGGCTGACCGGGGATGCCCGGGTACCCTCCTTGGTGCCCACCTGGGTCAGGGGGGGATGCACTCGTATTTCACTGACCGCTTGGGTCGAAGGGACCCAAAATTCAAGGGGAAGGAATTAGCAATTGCTCTGCTCCCCTCCAGAGGCGGGACGGCCACAGGGGAGGAAATTCCTGCCTCATTAACTCTATTAATGGGAAATAACACCGGGCTGGTTCTGCAGGAGGACGCGGAGCTGGCTGGTGGGAGATGATGAAGAGCGTTTCCTCGTCGCTCCCTCCCACCCTGCTGTTGTTTCGTGGCCAGCCCGGGAGCGCGGGACACACCAGGAAGCTGAAATCGCCGTATTTGGAGCAGATCGCTGTGGCGAAATGAGTCTTGGAGAGGGGAAAAAAAAAAAAAAAATATGAAATGACCTGGATAAAAACCTGAAAGGAGGGAAAAATACAAAGTGGCTCAGACCTGATGGCATTGCGAATGGGTTTTGGAGGAGCTCCGTGGGAGGCGGCAGCGGGCAGGGCAGGACCCTGGGGCTGTACCACGATGGGATGCGCTCGGCACCGGCTTTGCCGGCGCCGGATTTTGCCGGCACCACGCGGTGATGGTGGTTCAGGAAGGGTTTGGTGGGCTCATCCTGGTGCTGGGACGTTGCTCCCTTGCCGGCTCGTCCCCAGGCGGCTGACGGCAGGAGGGAAGGACGCTCCGGCGTCTCGCCAAGGCGATGCTGCGCTGCCAGCCCTGCCCCGACCCCCACGGTTTTTGGGGAAGCCCCGGCACGCGTGGGGAGCCTGGGGAGCCTGGTGCGGGCAGGTGAGTGGCTCTGGCATCCTTTGGGGCCCTGACATCTCTCCTCCTCTCTCCCGCAGACCCTCTTCCAGAGCCCCGACGAGGGCTGGCAGGTTTACACCTCGGCGCAAGCCCCCGACGGCAAATGCCTCTGCACGGCCGTCATCCCCGTCCAGGGCACGTGCTCCCGCGACCTGCGCAGCCACCAGCTCCGTCAGCTCATGGAGAAGGTGAGCGTCAGCCGGCCCGCCGCTAACCGGCGTTACCGGCCGAGCCTGCTAACGAAGTGCTTAATTTGCGGCGGGGGGACCCCCCATCCAGCGCGGGTGCACCCTACGGTGGGCTGTGACGGGCTCGTCCCTTCCCCGGGCACCCGCAGCTCCCTCCCTGCGTAACGTCGACGCGTTTGCCGGTCCGAGCATCCTCGACGTTCCCGCCGCAAGGGGGGAACATTCGCATCCTCCTGCCCGGCCGTGAGGTTTGCCGGAAGGGTGTCACCGCGTCGCCGCGCATCCGCGGTGCCGCCGGCACGTGGCGATGCCCTCGCCGCACGAACCGAGCCTGCCAGGCGGCCGCGGAGATGAAATCAGCCTGGAGATAAATCCCAAGCGGGCTTTAGCCTGCGGCCCCATGAGCCAAATGATGTTTAATGGAGCCCGGGTGGTTTCCCCGTGCGGAACGGGGGACGTGTGGCTGCCCGCGGTGGGGGGGGTCCACGCTGCCAGCCCCTTCCCCGTGGGCTCTGCAGCAGTGCCGGCAGAAGACATTAGCCTTCCCCCCCTCTGCAGCACAGAGCCGTGTGCCTGAGCAGAGCTCATTTAATTTCCCCCTGGTTTTTACACGTCCGCACGGGCGGGCATGCTGCAAAACCCGATTAAACTTTTATTATAACGCGCTGCAAAAAACGCCTCTTAAGCAGCTCTCTTCCAAGGCGGCGGCGGCATCGTAAATACCAGCGGGGCTGGTGCTAATAAATAAATAACCGTTTGAGGAACACTGTCACGTTCATGTCATTTGAAAGCGTGGAAATAAAATAACTTTGCCGGCTGCGGCAGATGAAATTAAAGAATGAAAGCTCATAGACCGGGCTGGGAAATGTGCGCTCGGGTGGTTTAAAAAAACAAATAACAGCTGAAGCAGGATGAGTAAAACGCATTATTTTATACATTAAAGCTGCAGGGGGAAGAGTTTTCTTGCAAGTGTTTACATAAACGCCGGTGCGGTGGAGTGGGGAGCAACTCGTCCTCCGGCTCCCTGGGGATGGGGACACCGGGAGGGGGTCTCCTGGGGCCGTGTCCCCACCAGCACCCGGTGACCACGGGCTGGTCCTGGGGGCTGCTCTCCTTTCCCCATCCCCTCGCTGCCTCTGCACCCCAAATTTCCCTGACTCAGGCCTCTTCGTTAGCAGCGGCGGGGGGGTGTGTTGATTAGACCGAGGGCTTTATCACCGCCCCCGTCCCACCATGCAGGTGCAGAACATCTCCCAGTCGATGGAGGTGCTGGACCTCCGGACCTACCGGGACCTCCAGTACGTGCGCAACACCGAGTCCCTGATGAAGGGCTTGGACTCCAGGCTGAAGGTGGCTGCTGAAAGCCAGAAAAGCCTCAACGCCAAGAGCTTCCAGGTGAGCCCGTCCCCCCCCTCCCGCGATGCCTCTCGCGCCCTGTGGGACCAGCTGCCGGGTTTGGGACACCTCCCCGAGCACATGGTGCTGTGCGATGCTACGAGGTGGGTGGGCACCCTGGGAAGGGTCCTGATTTTGGTGATCCGGGTGGCCGAGCGCCCCCGTGGTGGTCCCAGGGCTGAGCCACCCCCATGGTAGTCCCAGGGCTGAGCATCCCCACAATGGTCCCAGGGCTGAGCATCCCCACAGTGGTCCCAGGGCTGAGCACCTCTGCAGTGGTCCCAGGGCTGAGCACCCCTGTGGTGGTCCCAGGGCTGAGCATCCCCGCGGTGGTCCCAGGGCTGAGCACCCCTGTGGTGGTCCCAGGGCTGAGCATCCCTGTGGTGGTCCCAGGGCTGAGCATCCCTCTGGTGGTCCCAGGGCTGAGCATCCCTCTGGTGGTCCCAGAGCTGAGCACCCCTGTGGTGGTCCCAGAGCTGAGCATCCCTGTGGCACCTGAGCATGCAGGGTGGGTGTGCGGTGCAGGAGCGGGACAGGGTGCCCAGCCGCAGTGGGTGTGCAGACAAGGCACAGGGCAAACCAACCTGGGGCCACAACCCACTGCCTCCCTGGGTGCCGCAGCGGGGGGGGGAGATGTGCCGGTGGCAGGGCAGCAGAGATGGCCAATTCCCAGCCCATCTGGCTGCAAATCGACACCTTTAATTAAGCAAAACACAGCTCTTCCCTGGCAAAGCCATGATTTCAACCTGACGGGTGGCAGCCGTCAGCGCCGTGTGCTGATCGATGCAGCCTGCAAGTCAATGCTGCCCACGCTGCAGCGGCTTTGCACCCCCAAGAAATCCCATTACCACCCCCCCCCCTGCTGGGGCACTGGTTTATTTTGGGAGCCTCAAGGCTTCATCCTGACAGCTGAAGAGTGTTTCTGTCTCGGGAGTGGCTGGTTCTTGGCACTGAAACAGGCCAGAGGATGCTCGGGTGGATGCTGGGCGCTGACAGTTGCAGAGACAAGACATTGATTAAACATCTGAGCTGCAGCAAATGTCTTGGCTGGTTTAATCACAGCAGGAGGTGCTGAGCCCTGCGACCGGGATGCAATCCCGCCGAGAGATGGGAACACTGGCCCCTGTAACGCTGTCCTGAAATGAAAGGCGAGGAGGGAGGAAAGGTGCTGGCGAGCCGGGCTTGTTCCCGGGAAAACCCACTGAGCCACGGGATGGCGAGTGGGGCCGTGGGCTGTGGAGCAGGACGAAGGTGCTGGCTGTGGATTTACAGCGTCCTTGAGCGAAGGAGACTCGGTGGACCGGCTTGCAGCCAGGGCCGGCTTGCTGCCATTTCCCCCCCCCCACTGCTTCCCTGCTACGCTGGTGCAGCGGCTGGCACAAGCCTGGCAGGATCGTGCGCGGCTCCCGAGCATCCCTGTGGTGATCCCAGAGCTGAGCATCCCTGTGACATGCAGGGTGCTGGGTGCACGGGCACCCTTTGCCTGGAGCTGTGACCCATCCCTGGCATGTTCTCCCCACTCCATACTTGCACCCCATTCCCATGTCGGCTGCCAGGCATCTGCTCAGACTTTGCCGGCCGGATAGATGAAGCCTTTGCCTGGGTCGTTCCAGGCCAAGGTCAAAACACCTCTTAACCTTCTCCTTGTGCTAAAATAAGCGGAGATTTTTAAACCCTGGACCTGGCATATAACTCTGCCTGTTGCTGTCATTCCCCCAGCACCATCACTGCGTCTTCCTGCATCCCTCCTGTGCAGAGCATCGCTCCACGTCCAGCCACCCCGCTGCTCCGGGCTGGCCGGGGAGGGGGGATGTCACCCCGTGCTCCCGCTGTGGGACCGGATCCTGCCTGCTTCCCACTCTGCAGAGCGAGGCGATAGCATCAGCTGCGGGTGATTCATTAGCTATCGCTCCCCAAGCGCTTGGAAAATGCAAAGCCTTGTAATTGTTATTAATTACTGACCCAGGAAATAGGGCTTGTCTCTGGTGTGTTAACGAAAACCTCTGCGATCCCCAGAGGGATGGACAGAGGGACAGCAGGCATGGGGACAAGCACCACCAGGCTCCAGGCACGGGCTTAATTTAAGGCGTGTGTGTGTGTTTGTTTTTTTTTTTTCCCTTGTACCCCTTAAACAGGAGCTCAAGGACAAGATGACGGAGCTGCTGCCTCTGATGCCCGTCCTGGATCAGTACAAGTCGGACACGAGGCTGATCGTGCACCTGAAGGAGGAGGTGAGGAACCTCTCTGGGAGCTTGCTGGCCATCCAGGAGGAGATGGGTGCCTACGACTACGAGGAACTGCAGCAGCGGGTGCTGATGCTGGAGGCACGGCTGCACGCCTGCATGCAAAAACTGGGTACGCTCCCCCCTCCTCACCACCTCGGCTCTGGTTTGGGTGGGCACCCAGGTCCCTCCTGCTCGCAGCAGCGTCCCTGTAGATGCAGGGAAGGCTGGGATCCCTTCCCGGGAAGGCAGGGCAGGCAGCCCATGCTGCCAGCTTCCCATTTCAGAGAACCCAAGCTGTTGCTGCTACCTGCAGCTCTGCCCACGTGCTGGGCCTCCTGTTTTGCTGCACTGCTGATATCTTCCAAATAATAATAATAATACTGGCAATCCAGCATCCTCCACTATGTGCCGACGGGGAGTTTGCTGGTGTGGCCGGGCCCTGGGACTCACGCAGGAACCACTTTTCCTTGGTCAGGAATAGCTGCTGGAGCCCAGCAGTGCCTTTTCCTTAAGCATCCCCCAGCCTGCTGCCCTGTCCCCTCCTGGGGGTCCCTGGGGTAAAGAAGAGCCCTGATTCCTCCCCGCTCGGTGCGTGATGCTCCCTCCCATGAAGGGAGCTGGGCAGCATCGTGGTCCTGGATGCCCACCCCTGACTCCCAACTATTTTTCCTCCCAGGTTGTGGGAAGCTGACGGGCGTCAGCAATCCCATCACCATCCGAGCATCGGGATCCCGCTTCGGGTCGTGGATGACCGACACGATGACACCCAGCGCTGACAGCCGGGTGAGTGGCACAGGCACCCATGCCGATGGGGTCGGGACACAGCTCGGGCTTCCCACGGCTCCTGCGTGGCACTTTTGTGGGTGTCTTTCCCCAAAACCCTCCCAGGCCCAAGCAGAGGTGAATTTTGCAGGTGGGCAGCTCCTCTCTTGGCCGGTCTGGCTCTGAATTTTTTTGCAAAACCTCAGCACTCCTCGGGCACCGTGTCCCCTGCAACCTGCCTGGCTGGTGCTGCTGCGTCCCTCCTGGCTGTGCCTCCACGGGGGCACGTCCCCGGGATGCACGCTGCCTGGGGTCCGTGCGTCTTGGTGCAAGTTCCCTGGGTTGCACGGTGCCCGTGCCCCCGGGGTACACACCGCCTGGGGTGCCCGTGCCCTGGTGCACGCTCACCAGCGTGCAAACCCTCTGCTCCGTCGCACGAGGGGCGCGTGGCTGCCTCTGCCGGAGCTCTGCCAAGTGCCGACGGAGGAAACCGGGATGCTGTGATGGGAGGCTGGGCAGGAGCTTCCCTGGAGCCTCTGCAGGCTGGGAACTCAATCAGGCTGGGTGTTCCTAACGAAGCACGCCCTCTTATTAAAAATTAGCCAAGCATTTGATCTGCAGAAAGAGCAGAAAAACACATGTAAAGGGGGGAAGCCAGAAAAATGCATGCCGGCGTGTGGCAGCAGCGTAAATGGCTGCATGTGCGGCGGGGGGGGTCGCGCAGGACGTGGGTCGTGTCCGTCTGTCCTGGGAGCCCATCTTGATGGGGGTGGGGGGTCCCCGTTTCGGCCGGGCATCCCTAACCTGAGCCTGCTGCAGGTGTGGTACATGGACGGTTACTACAAGGGCCGCCGCGTCTTGGAGTTTCGGACCTTGAACGACTTCGTGACGGGACAGAACTTCGTGCAGCATCTCCTGCCGCATCCCTGGGCCGGCACCGGCCACGTGGTCTTCAACGGGTCCCTCTACTACAACAAATACCAGAGTAACATCGCGGTGAAGTACCACTTTCGCTCCCGCAGCGTCCTGGTGCAGCGCAGCCTCGCCGGCGCTGGCTACAACAACACCTTCCCTTACTCTTGGGGTGGTTTCTCCGACATCGACTTCATGGTGGACGAGAGCGGGCTGTGGGCTGTCTACACCACCAACCAAAACGCCGGCAACATCGTGGTGAGCCGGGTGGACCCCCAGACGCTGGAAGTCCTGCATAGCTGGGACACGGGTTACCCCAAACGAAGCGCCGGAGAGTCCTTCATGATCTGCGGCACGCTCTACGTCACCAACTCCCACCTTGCCGGCGCCAAGATCTATTTTGCCTACTACACAAACACTTCCAGCTACGAATACACGGATATTCCCTTCCACAACCAGTATTCCCACATATCCATGCTGGACTACAACCCGCGGGAGAGGGTGCTCTACACCTGGAACAACGGCCACCAGGTCATCTACAACGTCACGCTCTTCCACGTCATAAAGACGTCGGGCGAACTGTGACCCCGTGCCGGACTCCTCTGCTCTCCCTTCCCCAGCTCTTTATTTTTCTACACTTCAGCCTTGGCCATTCTCTCGAGGGGATGGAGCCTTCCTCCTCCTCCTCCTCTTTGATTACTTTTTAAAATTTCTTTGGTTTCTTCCCGCGGTTCATGGCGCATGGATCTCTTCTGCCTTCATTTGAGCTGACCTTGGTTGTTTTTTGGTTTGTTTTTTTTTTTTTCAATTTATATCTTTATTTTGATGGCAAATAAAAACAGTCTCTTTGACGTTTGATGGGGCTTGTGCTGATTTTTTTTTTCCCCCCAAATTTTTAAAAAATTATTATTTGTCACTCAATGGCTTGGTTTCCCCCCCGCCTTTTCCTGCATCCCCTCTGCTGGCGGATGCCAGGAGCCGGCTGTAATCTCCAGCCCTCTCCTCCAGATGTGTGCCGGCAGCCAGCGATGTTGTTTATGGGCATGTTTAATGCATGCGGGTGTGGGCGCTGGGGAAATTACAGCAGAGCTGGGCAAGGCGAGGAGGAAAGGAAGGGAAATTATAGCGCAGCTGCGGCGAGCGAGGGGGGGGCAGACCCTGCATGGGTGGCTTGCCCCAAAATGAGCACCCAACGAGGCTGGGGCAGCAGGATCCTGGCCCTGGGGGAGAGTGGGAACCTCTTGCCCAGGGGTGAGGAGGGATGGAGGAGATGTGGGGGGGATGGAAGAGATGGAGGAGATGCAGAAGGGATGGAGGAGACGGGGTGGAAGGGGACAAAGGGATGGAGGGACACACGGGGCTGGAGGAGGCAGAGGGGGCACAGGGCTCGGCAGGCAGCCTCCCATGGGCATGATCAGGCGTAATAAATCTTCAAATGGTCCCGCAAAAATCAAGTTGCAGAGCTGCGCTTCCCAGGGCTACGTGTCAGCTTGTGCCCTGCGAAATGCTTTGCAAATTGGCGGGGGGGGGCCGGGGAATGACACCCTGCAAGCAGAGACACCCCCCCCCCCCCCCCCAAACCTGGGTAGAGAGCTGCGTGGGGATGCTGGCAGGATGGGGATGGAGACAGGGTGCGTTAAAGCCCACACATCAGTCCTTCTGATTCCCCATCGCAGCTCCGGGACCTTCGCAGGGTTTGGGCAGGGGAAAGGTGGGGTATGGGGGGGTCCGGTCCAGCCCTGGAGCCCACCCCTGCCCTGGAGACAGCATCACGGAGCCGGTGCCTGGGTCATGAGCATAAAATCGAAGCTGGAAGCACCTTGTCACGTTTATTCTCCTCTTGAGAGAGGAGTGGGGAACAAGAGGATAATCCCTGCTAATCCCATCAGCTGCTTATGTGCAAGAGGAGCGGGTTCGGAGGGCTGCGGTGATGCTGGATCTCGGCAGCCCCCCCCCCCGTGGCAGCGTGTTTTGGGGGACTGGGAAGCTCGGCTCGCCCCTGACCATGCCGATGGGCTTGTTGGGTTGGGGAGGGGGGCATCCATAGGTCCTGGGGGAGGGAAAGATCCCTGCATGCCCTTTCTGCAGAGCATCATCCAGGCACTCAGGGAAACACCTTGGCCCCGGCGCTGGCTGGGTGATGGAGGAACATCAGGGTGCTGCTGGGTTTGGGTGCTGGGCTCCCACCCTGCTCAGGCTGCACCCGCTGAAGCATATCCCTGGTTTTCCAGCTTTGTTCCTGTGTCCCAGCCGGGCTGTGACCATGGGAAGACAACTAACTCCACGCTGCGAGCTCCGACCGAAGCGGCTCTGCCCCAGCCCCAGTGAGCGGGACGTGAAGGGCTGCTCGGCCAAGACCCCGCCGGCCACTTTTCACGCCGTGGCTTGAGACTCGCTCATGCAGGGAGTTTAATTTGCTATGGGAAGGACATGCGGGCCGGCGGCCAAGAGCAGGCACTGCTCCGGCGCCCGGCTTGGCACGGCGAGGCCGGTTATTGAGCAAAGCCAGGTGAGGAGGAGGAGGAGGAGGATGGAGGTCTTTGCATCGTGCGAGGGGTGCGCAACGTGCAGCCACACACCTGACGGTTCCGGGCAGCGGCTGGCAACCCCCCTGCAGTGATTATTTAGCAATTAGTGCCTGAGCAAGGCTCCCCATCTCGGCAGAGGCTGTATCCAAGCGACCTGTGGACTGAGATATTAATCCGGGCTCAGCCCGCAGCACGGCTGCTGCTCGCCTGCGAGGAGCACTCATTTCTCACGCCGTGGCTTCCAGCAAAGCGAGGGGTGGGTATTTTTTTGTTTTTTCCCCTGACAGTAGGTGACTACGGCAGGAGGCACGCAGAGGGGTGCTGGCTGCTGCGGTGCAAGGGGAGCAGGGAACAGCAAGGGGTTGGGAGCCAAAGTGCACGCATCCCATCCCCATCCCATCCCCATCCCATCCCATTCCATCCCCATCCCCATCCCATCCCCATCCCTTCCCCATCCCATCCCATCCCCATCCCCATCCCTTCCCCATCCCAATTCCATCTGCATCCCCATCCCTTCCCCATCCCAATTCCATCTCTATCCCCATCCCAGACAAGTGTCCCCCACACACAGTGAACCCTTGACACGGAGCTGTGCCGGGACACAGAAATGGGCACCACAGAGGGTCTCTGGACCTCGGCCTCCTCATGCCACGGTTAATCATTCCCGGTGCCAGAGGTGCTGCGTCCCTCACCACAGGGACAGCCCCACGGCCGACACGGAACCGCAGGGGTGGCCATCCGCAGCCAACCCCCCCCTCCTCGAGCCCTGCCCTGCAGCATCTCTCCAAGACTCTTCCCACTTCTTCCCCTCTCCTGGTGCTGGCGCTTGTCCCCCACCTTCAAACCCAGGCTGGATTCAGCTCCCCCAAATGCCACCGCAGCGCTCGAGCCAGCGGGCTCGGTAACGAAGATTGATGGGGATGAGATAAAGCTTTGGGGAAAGGCTCACCAGGACGAGGGCAATGCCACTGACTGCCACGCAGGGACCTTGGTCACCTTCCCTGCACCCCTCAACCTCGGGTGTCCTTAGAGGGGGACCCTGCGTGGGGACGGGGACGGGACCGGAGCCCCGTCCCCGCCGAGGCGATGCAGCGAGTGCTGCAGTGCAGCTGCTGTTCGAGGCACGTTAGGTTGGTGCCTACAGCTGGGGAAAAAAAAAACCCACCCAAACCAACGTGTTTTTCCTTTGTTCTGCTATTTATTAGGCTACAAAAGGAAGGGGGGAGGTGGGAAAAAAAAAAAACAACCCGGGGCACTTAATAACCTTACACATGTAGAAACTCTTCTGGAAAACAGCCTGTCTCCCTGCCCAAAATCACTCATCCTGCAGGCTGGGTTTTTCCAGCTTATTGTAATTCTTGCGAAGGCTCAGCCCTAACAAGAGGTGAATTGGTTATTCAGCGCTGATCCTGGCTGGGGATGGAGCTGGGGGGGGGGGGGGGGGGGGCACGCAGCGCCCAAGCCAGAGGGTGCTGGTGGCTGCGGTTCCTTTGGATGGTGTTTAAAAAAGGGTTTCCAAAATATTTCGGATGTTCCCAACGCCTGGCGTGCCCAGGTTCCTGAGAAACCCCCCAAAGGGGCTACGACAGACCCCGGTGCCATGTCCCCAGCGGCGTGGGCTGGGTGGGACCCCAGCGGGACCCCTCGTCCGAGCCTGGGTAAGTGTCTGCCGGCTCGCCAAGCACCAGCCCTCCCGTTAATAACTCGCTTCGTCATTAAAGCATCAGCAAATCCACCCCCGCGCCTGCCCGAGCCGGGGATACGGCACTAATCATGTTTACTGCAGAGCCGTAGTGTTGTGTTTGCAGCCGCTGCGCCCGTCACGGCCCGCCGGGGACTTTCCCCCTAACGAAAAACCAGCGGGCGCTCAATAATTGAGGCTTATTTATGGAAGGGAAGCGGTTAGCAGCGGGAGCGTAGAGCTGTCGTTGCTAAAATAGGCCGCGGAAAAGCAAAAAGCTGGGCTTCAATCCCTCGTCCCGCCGCCCTCGGGACCCTCCGCCTGCTCCCCAGGCTTTATTATCCACCGGCAACCAGCGACGCTGTGCTGGATGCGTTTGTCGGCCCCTCGCCAGAGATAATTGATGGGTTGGGGGTCTTCCCCGGGGCCAAATTGCTGCCGTTGGAAGAACCTGTCTATTAGCTTGCTCGTAGCATCCTCTGTTCCTCACCGGGTGAGGACCAGCAGCAGGGAGCAGGGCACAACCCTCCTTAGAGATATCTGCTCTATAGTATATTTTGATATCTGTAATGTATAGAGAAATCTTAGCTATAAGATATACACGTTAGCTATAAAATATAGAAATCTTAGCTATATTATATACATATTAGCTATAAGATAGAGAAATCTTAGCCATAATATATACATATTAGCTATCATATAGAGAAATCTTAGCTATAATATATACGTATTAGCTATAATATAGAGAAATCTTAGCCATAATATATACATATTAGCTATAATATATATAGATTCCTGTAATATAGAGAGATACATTATATATCTTACAGCTATACGTATACAGTGAAATGCCGAAACCCCAGGGTAGGTTTGAGGGGTGCTGGGGGTATGGCTGAACATCCCCCCAGCTGCGTAGCAAAGATAACAGGGACCTCTGAGAATCTGGGGGGGGGGTGAGAGACCCCCCCAAAAAATCTCCTGTCAGTCCCCCTCCCCCCCAGCTGGGGCTCCTCTACCCACAGCCCTGGGGCAGCCTGGCCCCAGGCTGGGGCTGAGATTCCCACTTTAATATTTAATGTGAGATTAAAGATAAATCTAGGGGGATTTTTTTTTTCTAATTTTATTTTATTCCAGTGTATCACAAAATGAGCTATGAATAAAACTTAACTTGTGCAGAAGAGGATTTATTTATGAGTTTCAGCTGAAATTTGCTCCGCGAGGGCCTGGAGCAGGCAGGCAGGAATACAGATGAGATCCCGCTTCCCGCAGGCGAAGCCGGCAGCTGGGGAAGCTGGAGGTATAAATTTTACCTCCCATATCCCAGGTCTGTGCCTGCATATATTTTTTTTTAAATTTATTTTATCTTATTTGGATTATTCTGGCGATATTTACTCTCCAAGGAAATTAATCTTCGGGGGCTCCTCGCAGATGCTCATGCTCCATGTGAGGCTCCCAGCTCTGATTTGGCAAATACAAACCCCATTTCAGCAGAGGGGATGATGCCAGGGACAAAGCATGGATGTAAAAAACTCCCGCCCTCCCCAAATCAGGAAAACCAATTTCCCTTCATCTTTAATTAATTAGTTCATGCTAATGAAAGCATCACATTTCCATGACGACCTGGGATTCCAGAGCCCAGCCCAGTACCGCAGCAATAGTTGGAAATTAAACCAATAAATAATAGATGCTCACCATTAATGAACTAATTTAAAATGGGGATTTAAATTTTTTTTTTTTTTAAATTCACAACTTTTTCTGCTCACAGCAAAGCTATTAGCACTTGGCTGGAAGCAGAATTAAGTCAGTGAACAGTAATCGATTCCTTTTATTAGCAAATTGAGAGGCACTTTAATATTTATCAGTTTATTGTTAAGAAATCACCTGGGAGGAAAATGCCCCCCCCCCCGCAAAACTCCACTTCAAACCCCACGCAAACTTTCCAGAATTAAATTTATTAGGGCTATAAATTTATAATGGCTTAACTCGCTACACAGATGGAATATATATTGCTAATGTAATTTTCCAAACCAGTGATGAGTGCGTCTGAGAGATTTTTTTTTTTTTTTTATGGCAAAGTAATACAGACTAGTACATTGCACAATGGCAAAATATATTAAATATGTATATGAAACATCAGGAAAAAAAAACAGGGTGATGATGGGCCTGTGCTCTGTTACACCCTGGGGCAGCGGCTGAGGTGCTCGGTGCAAGGTGGGGACAAACCCAGCCGGGATTTCACCTTGTTCCGAGGATAACGCCGGTGGCCGGAGACCGGGATGTGCCTGGGATGCTCAGCAAGGTGCATCTGCTCCCAAAGGCAGCATCTCCTTCCTAAGCCATCTCCTTCCTCCAGCAGCTGCAGCCCAAAAGGACCCGTTATGCCAAAAAGCTTATTTAAACGAGGGTAATTTAAGGCTCTGGTGTGTCTAAATGAGCTGGGCTGCTTTTGCCTCCTCCCTTTCCAGAGGTGGCGGGGGGGGGGGAGCCTGTGGAGCACACATGAGCAGCTCTGGAAGAAAAATGAAGGGGGGGGGGGGAAGAAAGAAAAAGACAAATGGGGTCTAATTGGCATAATGGGGTCTAATTTGTTTTCAAAAGCCGCCTCTCTCCTGACCCAGGGAATTGGCATTGCATGAAAAATACCTGCAGCATGCGAATGAGCTGGCTTCTCGGCAGCTTTATGGATCCCACCTGACACAAGCCCCTCGTTAAATCAAAACAGAGATAGCACAAGAATTAAACTGTCAGGATAACGCATGCCGATATTTGCCGGGTAGCGGCAGCGCCCGCAACCGGGTCCTGCTCCGGGTGGGATTGATGTGCCGGGGCAGGGTGTTATCCCTCACCTCCCACCTCCCGGGGCAGAGAGGGACGGGGCAGGGGGGGTAAATGCCCCCAGACTCCCTTCTCCATCAGCGACTCCATCGGCAGCCACTTGCTGAGCGGAGAATTACTGCCGGCTGCGATAACCGCCTCGGACCATCAATTATTATCTAATCCACATTATCTAATCCTTCATTCACCCGGCTTCTGCCCCTGGGGCATGTGGGGTACATTGGGGTCCTTGGGGGGCACGTGGGGGTCCCATGGGGGTGTAGGGAGGGCCCCCAGGGTCCAGGGCCCTTCGGATGGAGCGGGGGAAGCGATAATTCCCAGCACACCGGCTCACGGAGAAAATAAAAGCGCCCTCGCAGGCTGCCGGGGCGCGTGGAGGGGATGCTGGGCTGGCACCGGTTCTGCCGGGCTTCACGCCGAGTCCTCTCCCAGGGAAGACAAATCCCCTTCGTTAATCAAAGCACGGGTCCTGGGGGAAAATTAAGGACTTTAAATCACTCGTCCCTTCTGATGGGACCAGGCTTCAGCATCACGGCCCTCCGGTGCTGGTCACCCGACGGCACCCGCAGGCGTGAGGTTGGGTGCTAGGGCATGGCCAGCTGCTCCCTAAAATATCCGTGAGGAGCAAATCCCCAGCTCTGCTCGCTCCATCCATCGCTCCATCCATCCATCCATCCATCCATCCATCCACCCCAGCAGAGCCCAGCAGCCTGCTGAGCACCCCAGCCCAGGTGGGGCAGGATGAGCCTATATTAGGAGCTCTGCCAGCAGCAGCTGCCCATGGCAGGGCTCAGGGGCAAACAAATCCTGCCCGTGCCTCGATCCATCTCCTCCTTCCAGAAGATGCAGCCAGGCGACAGCAGCTCTCGCCCCTTCAAGCAGAGGAAAAGCCTCGGTACGTTACTGGGGATAAGGGGAGCAGCAGAGCAGGGACGCGGTGATGGGCTGCGCTGCGCTTATTGCTCTTTCTTTTCTCTTCCACAGCTACCAGGATGCACGAAGTGACAGAGATACGGATAAAATATCCCAACAAGATCCCGGTAAGGGCTGCACCCCGCTGTCTTTGTGGCCACCGATGCTGAAAGGCGAGCTGTGGGAGTCTTTGCTAAAGACTTTATGGCTCCATTTTTTGCTTTTCTGGGTACCCCTGCCAGAGTGGTCCCAAAGCCTCCCAGTCCCTGTCTCCCCGCCCCAGCATCTTCTCCCCGCTGCAGGTGGTTGTGGAACGCTACCAGAAGGAGAAAACCTTGCCCCCCTTGAACAGGACCAAGTTTCTGGTGTCCCAGGACCTGCCCCTGTCCCAGTTTGCTGTCACCCTGCGGTAAGTGGTTAATGGTACAGAGGGTCCTCAGGCTTGCTTGGGGCAAGTGGTAGGGGGGTCCACAGCCCCAGGCCAGTGCAAAAGCCCAGTCTAGATGCAGCTGGTCCTGGGAAACAGCTTTTTGGCTGCTCAACTGGGCAACTGTTTAGATTTAGCCTAACACAATTAGCCTTTGTAATTAGCAAAGAGGATTTGATTGCCAATGCATGGGGTGCCTCACGGCAGGATTCCTCTACCCTTGCTGGGATAAAAGGTGACAATTAGCTCTTTTCCTGGGGACTTGCAGCACAGGTGAGTCACTAATTGGGGGTAGGTGATTAGCAGCCCTGCAAACAAGCAGCACTGTTGCAGCTGATGTGAAACCTTTGTGCTCTGCTTAAAATCCCTCCCAAGGACCAACACCTCCTGGCAGCACAGTTCAGGATGGTTGGAGGTGAGAGCTTGTGGGTTTGGCCCTTACAGATGTTTTGGGGAGCAGCTGGCCGTGCCCTCGCACCCACCTTCGTACCTGTGGGTGCTGGTGGGTGGCTGGCACCCCGGGGGAGGTGATGGCGAAGCTTGGTCCCTTTGAGAGGAACCACTAAACGTCTGAGCCAGCACCGTGTTCCCACGAATGGAGCCTCCCCAAATGCCACGTTGCTTGCACGCTGCCTTCATCTTCCTCTCGGCAGGACGCGGCTCTGCCTGACCTCCTCCCAGACCTTCTACCTGCTGGCGAACAACAAAGGGTTGCCGAACATGGCCGTCACCATGCAGGAGCTGTACCGGGACAACAAGGATGAGGATGGCTTTCTCTACCTGACCTACGCCTCCCAGGAGATGTTCGGCGGCTCTCCCTCCCGCAAGCCAGCGGCTGCTTGACCGCAAACCACCGGCCGCCACCGCGTCCTCGTGGCTGCTCGTCTGGGGACTCCCGACGCTGGTGAGATCGGGGACGTATCTCTCCAAACCTGGCTTGAAATCGGTGGGGAGCCCTGAATTGTGGCTGGACCAAACCTTGCCTTCTCTCTGGCTGCAGTTTGACAGGCTCAGCCTTGTAATGGTCTTAAAAACTCCACTCGACACCTCCTTAATCTTCTGGCTTTAAATACAAATTATTCTCCTGCCACAGCAGAAGATGGTGCTGGTTTACTCTGATCCACAGGAAGGTTATTTTTCTAACTGGCTCTTCTGAAGGGCTTTACAACCTGTCATCCCTGTTCAGAAAACTTAGGCTCCTTCTAAACACCTCTCCTAATAGGATCGGGTATGGGGAGTTTCACGGTCTGTGCAGGTTTTTGTTAAGCTGCGTGTCCATTCTAGCTGCCGCTCGAGTGTCTGTGCTCTTGAGATGTGGAATAAAGAAAATTGGACTGGTGCTTCTGGTCATCTAAACCGCAGCTCGTCCCTCGGCTGTGAAGCCAGCCTTAAACTTGGGGCTTTGTCCCTGGCTTTGCTGGGCTGCCAGTAGCTGAGCTGGGGGAGCGAGAGCAGAGAGGGGAAAGGACTTTGCTCCCCCCATTGCAAAAGCAGCCTGGGAGAGACCCTCCTGCAGAAAAGCAGCTCCCCATCTCACTCCCCTCTGCAGAATAGGGGGGGCTTGACCCCCTCCACCTCAAACCAGCACCCTAAGGACGGGGCACGTAGCTAAAACCCGCAGCAGGGATTAGCTGAGCTCAAATTGTAGTGCTGTGCTGCGAGTCAGACATAAATGCTTCCTGCCACTGATGCTGCAAAACACCTCTTAAATATTTAAGGCTTCCCTTGCCATAAAATGCATTGTCACACTGGGTGAATATTTCATGCACGTTTCATGTTAAAATGTTAATAAATAAGCTCTAAAATTAGCTGCCATGACAGCAGGAGCTGGGTCCCTGATGCGCTGCAGGGTGGGGGGGAAGTTGAGATGAGTCCCTCTCCTGTACTGGGATGAAACTGGGGAGCGGGGGTCTATGCTGTGCCCCCTGCGCCAACTGGCTGCACCCCCCAAACTGTGCAGCAGCAGGTTTCTTCCTGAGGCTTCAGGCTGGCTCAAGGCGGAGCTGGGGTGTCAGAGGTTTTTTGGGTTTTTTTGGGGGGGAGGGATGACAGCTCCATGCCAGTCGGTCGCTGGAGGTAAGGGGTGAGTCCTAGCAATGGAGGAGCCTGGCTTGGCATCTCGGGGGGGGGGCTTGTGGTGGCTGATGTGGCTTCTGGGCTGCTGGCAGGGGAAAAACCAGGCAGAGCTGTCCCTGCCCGCACCAGGCAGGAGCACGGGGAGCAGCTGGAAATACTCGTAGCTGCCTGGCACGAAGCTGCAACCCTTAAAGCAAAGAGCAGAGCAGGGCTGGGACAGAGCGTAGAGGATCCGCAGGCCTGATTTCCGCAAGGAAAGGAGCTCAAAAAAAATATTTCCTGTGCTGCAGGGGATGCCTGTGCCCATGGAGAGGGGAGAGTGCTGCTGCTTGTCCCATCCCCTTCACCCGGGCTCCATCACCTCCAGCCTTTTTTTCCCCTGTCTTATCCCAACCACAGCGTTTACCTCTGCAACTGCTGGAGCTTCCCAGGCAGATGTTTGGAGGCAGCGCTCATTTCCCCGAGCAGACACCTTCCTGCTTGGGGTTGTGGGTTTTTTTTAACAAACGTATATTTAACTTGTCAGTTTGCAGCTGATCCACTTATACCTAAACTCATCTCTCTCCCTGTTGAATAGGGAAGGGGCTGGCACGCCTCACAGTGTTTGCACACACACACAGCCTCCACACTCGTATTACCTCTAGGCATCCTGTAATTAAAACCGTGAGCTCTTTGGGGCAAGGACTCTCTGTTTTATGTGTGTATATTATTTATTAGGGTCCCTGCAGTCCATAGAGCTGGCTCTGAGCAGCCTGGATGTTCAATCCCCTTCCATGCTGAATTGCCTTTATGCATGCATGTGTGCATACATTATTTTTCCATGAGCATCCCTCGGATACCTGAAAACTGCCTGGAAGCCCTCAGGCTACAAGCAAAACAGAGAAGCAACATGCGTTGTACGGAGGGGGCTGGGGGAGACCTCCCTCAATCCATCCTCTCCTGGCCAAAGCTCATGTCAGAGCAGGACGGATGGGGCTGGTATTTGTTAGATGAAAGCGTATTTTTCACTAGCACTGGAGCATTGCTTCCCAGAAAGCTTCTGCGTTCAAAAGGACGGGGTTGAAAGCAAGGAGAGCCTGACTAGGCTTGCAGCCATGCTCCCCCTGAAAGCTTTCACCGCTCAGAGCATCACCTCCGCAACAGACGTGTGCAACCTGGAGAAGGATGGAGTGGCTTGTCCTGCCGGAAAAAAAATTACAGGTTGAATTAATGCTGAAGGCTCCCAGAGGTGTAAGATGTGGCACCTTATGGGTTCAGAGTAGGTTCAACTCCTTCGTTAGCTGGCAGTGAGAAATAACCCGTGAAACAAAGGGGTCTGGAGCAGAGAGGGGTTAAAAAGGGGGAAGTGCAGCTCAGGAAAGCCCTGATCTCTGGTGGTAAAGAGCTTTTCTCACCTTTTTTTTTCTCACCTTTTCTCCCAATCTGCTTTCCTGCCCTTTTCCCATTTCCCCTTATCACGGGGAAGGAGGGGAAGCCCAAAAAGCTGTTTCCTTGCAGACATCAGGGTTTACTCCATGAAGGTGAAGCCTATGGGGAAGGCTGCACTCGAGCACGAAGCTGGAGGGTTTCCCATCACCCAGCCCAGAACAGAGGGGCCAAGGACCCATGTGGGCATCAGCAAAGCCCAGTGAAAGCCCTGAGGTGCTCCGGAAGGCAGCTGGGCTTTTGCTGAGCTTTGCTGAAGCCCACAAAGGGTCCTGCTGCCTTCCAGCATCATTGCTGAACCAATTCTGAAGACTTGCAATCTTCAGCAAAGCCAGGCAAAGGTAAAAATGCACCAGGCTCCTGGGAGGGATGAAGTGAGCTTAGGGAATGTGAGACTTGGCTTTTTCCCACCCCAAATCCCCCTGCAGAAGCGGCTGGGGAAGGTGCCCTCAAAGCCCTTCTCCCCTGGGCAGGTTTTCCCAGGAAAAATGTATTTTTAGGGACAGTGAGAGACAGCAGCCGAGCTGCCCCACGGATTGGGGGGGTGGGGATGCTGGCAGGAGCCTTTGCTGCTGCATCCTGAAGCCAGGCAGGGCAGATCAGTGCAGATTGCTGGAGAACTTGGGTCTATCGTCCTCAGGATCCCACTTTTGCAATGCGAGAACGGTCCTGCCTTGTCCCCTGGATCATAAACTCCTTGCAGCTTGGTCCAGGTACCAGCATGGTGCTCTGTGACACCAATAACCAGGGCTCTGCTGCTGCCCAGCCAACATGAGGATCATGCCCAGATGCTGAATTACTGCTCGATGAACAGAACGTGCTGCAGAACCACTCATTCCTGGGCTTGACAGACCGGGAGCGTCTCTCTCCCCCCATCCAGATGCGGGGATGCCGAAGGATGGTCTTCACGTGTTTCATTTCTTCCTCTAAATCAGTTAAAAATAAAATAAATGCCAGCCAGCATTTTACGGGATGCCGATGGACTTTTTGCTGGTTCATTTATTTTGCTAAATGCCATTTGTAATCGCAAGCAGCCTATACTAGTACAAATATAATTACATATTTATTGCCAATATAATTCTGAGTTAATTATACGGCAACTAATTTTCTCAGCAGGGGCTTGCAATATTTGGGTGTAAAGGAGACAGCTGTAATTCTGAGCACTTTCCTCCCCCGTTTCTTTAACACACTGTGCAATGTTGCTCCATTACTCTCTAGAGGCACCAAAGGGGACCAGCCAACGTGCAGAAGCAGGCGCAGAAGTCGTCTTCTTTCCAGATGCTGCAGATCACCGAGATTTCCTGACGTGCACTGCCGGACAGGATTTCACCTCCTTGCTTCTCATTAAGATTCCCTTCACAGCCGTTTTTTGTGTTCATTAGTGGGTAAATAGCTATTGTTGGACTCTTTATCAGTTGGAAGAATTGCCATGCCTTGTTTTTTAAATTGTTCTTTCATTTCTGAAGATGCTGTTTGTGTGGGAAACACTGCTCAACACACTGGCTCCTGATTATACTCAGTTCCTTTTGTCTAGCCCTTGAATAGATGTTTTCCATGAGAGCCATAATAATGAAGTCATCTCCAGATTGAGGTGATTAAGCCCTCACTTCCTCTGGCTGCTTTTTGTCCCCAGACGAAATTTTGTGGCTTGTCACATGAAGTGTCCGGCTTTTATTTTGTTCTGGTTTTGCTTCTCCTGCACCTGGAGGCTTCACAGCTACCATTTGGCTCCTATGTGATGATGAAGAAGGTACCTAAACGGTCTCAACTGTTTCCTTCCTGGTGTCAGGTCCTTCGTGAGGTGCTCTTATGCTATCCATCTCCCTCAAAACCTTCCCCTGCCACTGCAATGGTTTTTCTGCACCTTGTTGCTAGAGTTGGGGTTTGGGCAGTCCTGGTTGGTGCATCAAAATAGCCCCAAATGGAAAACAAGACGTTGGCTTCCTCAAGGTGCTTCCTGAGCTTGCAAGTTCAGGAGTTCTTGGACGTCAATGGAGCCCAAGCCCAGGTGATGCAGGCAGCAGGACTTTACCCCCAGCATCCCCAGGCAGGATCAGCCCACGCTTTGCCTTCACTGAGCCCAGCCGGGTGCTACGAGCATCAGCCCGGTGGCCAGCGATGCCGAGGAAGGCACGCAGGTCAAGCCCACGTGCCACCTTGCAGCATGACACAGCTAATAAAGGCGTATTTTTAAGCTGTTTAGGGGCAGGTACCCAGCTGCTGCCCTTCAAAGGGTCCAACTATTTCCATAAACAGCAGCCAGACCAGCAGAGCCCCTCTGCCTTGGTCTACGAGCCCAGCCTTGATGTTTTCTCCTCTTCAGAGCCATTTGTTCACCCGTT